CGTAGCTCTAAACCACAAGTTATTTTGTTAGCGTGAAGTCGTAACTTGCGAAAACGATAGTGTAACAGAATAGAGCCAATACCTTATATGCTAACTGTAATATCGCCACTTTGCCAGGGGAAGCATGTCGACTGAAGTTCCATTCGCAATCCAAACCAATTACAATCGTTTGTGGATCAATATCACAGAAGATGGTGTTCGTAATTTTTTCTTTAGCTTCGGTTTCATCGCGTATGTAGTGCGTGGTAATGAAGGTTGGCAGTTGTAATATGTGATTGTCGCGGGTAGATTCAATTGAAGTCAAACTGCTAATCTTGTGGACCGTTCTTCAATGAGCTGGATTTATCAAGTAGGAACGCCTTGTCTCCCCAGACGTTGTCAGTAAAAAATAGCTGCGGTGGTTTATACCCGTACATGTCGTATGTTTTCATCATTTCCTGAAAAGGCGTCTGTAAATGCGATAATGACTTGGTGGGGACTAGCAATTACATTAATTACATATAGTATATAGAGCGCCAAAAGTCAAAAACTTGAATGTGTGGTCTCCCTTGAGTATCTTTCCATCGATAGTAACCATCTGCTTGTCCATGATTGGCCGAAGAACATCCATGATAGCATTGTATATGAGTCGAAAGTATGGTATAGAAGGAACGTATCCAGCGTACCCTTGAGGATCCTTAAATATCGAGAACTCAGGGTAGCTTCTGATGCGATTTTCGGTCCCCTTGTAAGTTGGGTTAGTTCGACGATGTATTTGATATAGGGTGTATATGATATGCAGTCGGGTATGGCGTTTGAGGTGCAGTTCCTGTAGCATATCTTGAAAGTTTGAAACTCCCATACCGTGCTGCATACATGGTCGTAAAATGTCAATGAGATCCTTAGAGATAGCACACCGGTAGGAAAAAATGGCGGGAAATTCTGCTGCTAGTTCGTTGGGCAGCTGTTTCAAGATTTTTTCATCGTGTGCACCCAATGAGGCATGACAGGTTTTGCATTCATATCGCCTTGACATAATATAAAAGCATCTTTCAAACACATGGTTCACTGTTAAAGGTTTGCCATAATTGTTGCTGCTAACAATACATACCTGTTCATGACCACCACTCGACGTGCATAAGGATCCTTGTAGAAGCCTTTATCTTCAAGTTTGCTTCTTTTAAAGGTATTTTCGTCTGCCTCATTGTAGCACCTCGGATCGCGGCAGTACAGTCGATCAACCAATAAATGTGGGAACCATAGAAAATAAATGAGGAAAGTACAATGGCTTGGGATTTAATATATTTTTGTCTCGTAATGCAAAATAAGGCGACTTTGGCTCAAGCCAAGTAGTTCCATTCTTGTATTCCCTTGGATAACCACCATCTTTGGTCTTGATACGATCTTGGATACTTAAGAAATACTGGGCGAGCACTCCGAAACTTTTTTCTTTGTATCCTCTGTCGTCATCATTGAGTGTTTGTGCTTCGTCAGGGATGGGATCTTCCTCGTTTTCCACGCCAGTATCATAATTAGTATGATTTTCTTCCTCTAATTCGTCGATCAAGTCCTTTAAGGTATAGTTATCGTCATCCACATCAGCCTATATAATCGATACAATAAGTATATGTATGTGGTGGCCCTTTCCGGATACAACCTGTTGGGAGGAAACTTCACAGCTTGGTTGCTCATTGATATTGGGTGGTGAGGCTGTGGCCTCAGCGCTTGTTGTGTCGCGTTGTTCTGAAGAAAGGTAGCGCGAAGGAACGTATTGCATCAAGCTCGTCTGACCGCGAACGCGAGCCGAGGAGGATTTCTTCTTGCTTCCTAGAGGTCTACCGCGACGACGTTTTCCATCTGACCGAGAAGTAGAATCACCCATTATATGTCAAATACGTTGTGTAGAAGATGATAGAGTGGGAGAAAATACAAGACGAAAGACCGTTTGAAAGTGCTATCGTTGACAGGAACAATCAAAACGCCAACTGATATACCACACACAAGCGCTACACAGGGGCAACACAAGATATCGGCACACGCAACATCCCCCGTTAACTTGTTATCTCATTGGCTACTCTCACACTTTGCAGATGCAGTTGCTGATGAGAGTCTACTCCAGTAGCTTTAACCCCGCCACATTTGTACCCATGGGTTATTTATTTATCCGATTTTTTTGTTCAGCGGCTCTATGAAACGGGTACTTCCATTTTCGGCGATTGCAGGTAAAGTAGTCGCTCTGGCAGGAAAACCGGTCTCTTTTTTCTGAGCGCGTTCCTTGAGTACTTACACTCACTAGTCATACAATCTCACTAACACCAATTTTTACGTACATCAACCTTTACGTACCTTAAAACATAGTGTGGGCTTTCTTGCCCTTCCGTGAAATTTGATCATATATACAAAATTTTCAAAGTAACAACAACAACATGTATGGTCCTTTTAGCGCTCAAGGTACGTAAAAATCATATACAGCAGGTACGTAAAATCGGAAGTATGTAACTCCAAAATGAGAAGTACGTAAGATTTTATAATACAAATATACAGCGCGAGAACTGATTTACTGTAGGATGCGGACAGGGACATGACAAGACAAGGACAGAAACACCGGACGAGAATGTGCTAGGTGCTTTCAGCAAGAACAGGACAAGACAAGGAGGAAATCAGAAGGTAGGAGACCAGATGGTGAGGCAAGAAACAAGAACAAGGTATAGGGAGGAAACAAGATAACTGACTGATGTTTTATCATTCAAAAACTATGATATATATATATCTTTCACTTATAGAATTTAATGATGTGAATAAACGGAAAGATTGGTATTAAGGTTGATGATTCGGATGATGATGATGGATGGGGATTTAATATGTCATCAACGAGGTCGAGGATGATCACTTACTGGAGGTCGAGAATGTTCATAACATTTATGTACTTCGGGTGGCCAAGTACGTAAATTTTTGCATAAAAAGTAAGGTGAAGTACGTAAAAATTACAGTACCCCTATGAAACCTACTGTAACAGCCCAAAAGGAGCGTATATGCAAAGCACCAGTCGTGATAATATATGTAAGGCGAGCTACATTGTTGTTATGGATACTTATGTCGTTGGACGGATAATCGCTTTGGCCTGATTCTAATGTACGTATCTGACATATTAACACAGCAGCTAGTGAAAAGATGCATATCAACAACGCGAACCTTCTACGATACTTACATGCTTGCCAAAAACAAATGAAAAGCGGTGTATTTTGACTTGGAAATCGTAAATAAAACCCCACTGTGTCCGTCATAAAAATAATTACATTCATAAATATGATATGCTCAACATGATAGATAAAGTGGTGGTGTGTGCGATGGCATCGAACTCTTTGCTCCACATTGAGAGCCATAGCTTAAGTAAGACCAAATACGAGATTTGTACAACATTACCTAGTTGCCCTAGTGCTACCACTGGTACCTTTACAAGCATAATACGCAAAATCAATGTTCAACAGGCAACTATAAGATTTCAATATGTACAGTGTTGCAGCTCCAATGCCGTTGTGTCAGTAATTGGTATCGCAAGAAGCTCAAGAGACGTAGAATAAAAAGTAGCAGACGAGAGCTAAGGGTGGTTACTGAGGAGGCGTATCTTGATATCAAAAAGCACTTCTGCTGATACGCAGCAGGCGGTGTCTATAACGGAAAATTCACAAAGCTAATCGCATAATGGCACTGTGGCTATGATAAAAGTGCTTATATAAGCATTGCGGATACCGTATATATTTATACATACTACAACGAATGCTTCATCTTAAGAAGACATGATGCGAGTCTACATTACATCCATGCACAATAGACTTTCCTACACTTTAGAGGATAGTCGATATCGAATATGCGCATACATCGTGAGTCGCTCTAGGGAAAAGCAACATCGCTGTAGACATGCAGATGAAAACGCAAACTCGCTTTTGCGGATCTACGTAGGTGGTATACTGTACATGAGAGCGTAATAACAAAAGTATGATATGAAGATATCAGACTGGAATGAAAGGTGTCATACGATGCCGGTTTTGTAAGATTAAACCATCATTACTGTTTTGCATAGTTTTCTTATCTCATCCTCTGCCCAAGCACAAACCACCAAGAAGAACAGCATCGAACTCTTTCCTGCTGATAATGGCGCTCAATCCAAGGTCACCAGCAGCAGTGTTGAATCTTCTGTTGAACCATCCAACGATGCTGGTATGTATTTTGAAAATTCCACCAACGTGCACAGGAGGCCACTGTTAAATCTTAAGGAGGGGTGATGATTGATAGCCAATATCTATTCCCTCGCTCCTTTTTTGACAATGATTGTTGTACTTGCATATACCGGAGCATTGGTCGTCTATATGGACTTGAGAACTTTTTATATGTGTACTGCGATACGCTGATCGTCGCACACATGCACAAACATATTTACGTACTATTGGTTCAGCTAACCAGGCGTTACATACTTTCGAAAACACTTTGAGAGTTTCCTTTTTAAAAAGATAAGATCATTATTTTCCAACAAGTGATGACTGCCAGATAATGTAACCGATTACCGATGCTATTTGTAATTGGTGCTATCGAGATATGTACATATTCAAGGATGCGGGTTCGTTTAATCGATGTGAAGAAAGCCCTTAGGTTATATTTGTTGAAACTAGAAACGCTTTAAAGTTACCAAGGGTGAAATCCTCTTCATGCATTAACTAGTAAGAAATGCCGATTTACACGCTTTGGAAAAGTGGAGTATATGTCGATCTACGTTTGCGGAAGCGCATAGGGTGTTTTTTTTGGTTTGTACTCGTAGTATGTACGTCCCCAGTATTAAGCTAACTCGCAATGCTACATTTTAATCGTCGAAGTAATATCAGCACAAGATACATATTCCAAGTGCCACTAGGACTTTATCTATATATAATTTCTTTTCTTGACGCTGTCAAACAACCGTCATAATCTGCTCCGGAACCGGAGTTATATCCCGCAGAAAATAAGGACTATTTTTTGTTTACATACATATTTGTTTGTACATTCACATTATGTATTCTTGGTTTAGAGCAAAAAGATGCTTGACCTTTCATTTTGTTTATTGCTTTGCGAGACAGCTGTTGTAAATGATCTAAACGATTGACGATTTGTGAATCCTTTCCGTATATTCGCTATCAGATCTGTAGCACTAGCACGGCCTTGTGAGATCCATGGATGCTGTAATGCTTCGGTCGCCGTAATCCGCTTCTCCGGATCTAGTTGCAACATGCAATCTATTAGATGCTTTGCTATATAAGCCATCGTCAGCATCAATCAGTAAAATAAAAACATGGAGAAGTTTGAGATGAGATATTATTAGTGATGATTACGACTAGTCATCGTTTTTAGCTTCTATACCCCTCTCCCCACTGTCAATAATTCCTTTTCACCACGAAAGCGTGTAGAATACACAGACAAAAAGTAATACCTGATGCAGGATTATCGCTCCAATATTCTTCATCGAATTCATAGTGTCCTCGAATAATGCTATCAAACAAGGTGGCCTCATCAGCTCCCCAGATTGGCGTGTATCCGCCAAGTAAGGTATACTAAAGCGGGTAAAAAGGGCGTTTTCAGTACTATAGGTGATGTGATAACCGTTATCGATACACATATAGCTATGAAAGAGCTTACTGTAATCACGCCAACACTCCATATATCCACAGGTGTACCATGGCCAGTGCGCAAAAGGATTTCTGGAGCTACATAGCCCGGTGTACCACATGCCGTCATCAAGATACCGTCATGGTCTTTGATAATCCTTGACAAGCCAAAGTCTGTGATCATCAATCAATCTTCGTTTTCGGTTGTTTCAAACAGTAGCTGTTATGAATAGCAACATAGTATGAGTGTGCGCGAAAACGAGAAATCCAACACATGTGCTTAATTCTTCCACTTTTATAAAAAAAAATCACTTGCGTTCGACTTATTTTTGCAATTTATATAGAAACCACTTACATCGTGTTCATGGAGGTAAGCCAATCCTTCTAATATTTGTCGCACCAGATTCGAGGCGTCTCGCTCGGTATATGATCCTTTGCGTAGTAGCTGTTGAAACAACGCCACCTTTGGCGTGGTCGGCCACGATATATACAGCATGCGCGTCTTCGAATAGTCCATGCATTGATATAATGTGGATGTCGAACTTGCTTCAAGACGTCTAAATTTTAAATTTGATTGATTAAGTTCCGACCCTGCCGTCTATCATCTCCCATCGGAAACGCGGAAGAAAAGAGGAGGGACTTACCTGATTCATTCTCAAGCATATACTCCTTGCCTTGCTTTTTTTTGTTTGATAACTTTGCATAAACATGAAAAAGAAACCAAACCACCCAGGCGCTATTTTTTGAAATAAAAATAAAGAGGTATATGTTACCTGCAATAGCCTTTTTCATGACAATTTTCAATGCGATGTTTGGCCTGGCTTTTATGCGTGCAAAGCTTATCAACGGCAAAAGAACCAACACCCAAGGTACGGTTGGAAACCTTGTAGATTCGTGTCAAACTCGAAGGTAATCTTGCTGGTATATCTTCTTGCTGGTTCTTTTTAAACAATGAAGCGATTCGTTACATCAGGTCCGTCATCTTTGTCATGGAACGATTAGTTGGAACGGTGAAATAGAAAAGTAATATATTGATAGGTTGTTGCTGTTGTTGTTGTAAAAGTAGTAATAGTGACTTGGGAAAGAGTGGGTATACTTGTTGCTGCTGACGGTATATTAGGTAGCAGTAATAATAGTAGTAAAATAAAAAAGATGAAGAGTGGAAAAATCAACAGATTATAATGTGAGAGAGAGAGAGAGAGAGAGAGAGAGAGAGAGAGAGAGCCTTACCTTATTCCTGTTCTGGGGTGAGTCCGAATTTGTTTAAAGTGGGTTGGCCCTCTGTTTAGTGAGCTGCGCGTACAATGCACCCAGCAGCAAAAAAGCAATAGACACACACTCCCTTTGTTACTTTCAGTCCCGAGAACCCTACTATACCAATTAAAATTAAACTTGAGATTTACCTTAATGAATCCACTTTAAGGTTCTGAAAACACATATCCACAGCACGCCAAATCAACATGATGAGGTCACGTTCGCCGCCTGACACTGCTGCACGCTGAACGCTGCCCCAGCGATAAGAGGAAAGGATATCGAGGATCGAACGTCGAGACCAGTCGAGATCAAATTTGGCGATTGGATGAAATCGATGCTCTTCAGCAATGTTCCAAAGTTGTTCCACATCAGTCTATATATCGATCAAATCAATGCTCTTGTTACTTGTTTTCTTTTGTTGTTCAATACAATTATAAACAACGTACCATGTTCTTGAAGTTTTTATGAAAAGTCTTCATTTCTTGTTGTACAGGTGGCAACTCTTTCACGTAGTCGTTATGGATCTTGGTTAATTGAGATGGTTTAAAGACTTTGCTCCAACAGGGATTGGAAATGTTTAATATGAACGAATGAGCCGCATTAACATTGCCATTTGAGGAGGGAGTTGACAAGGAGTAGACAGGAGTTGCACGCATCTTTTTTTCGGGATGCTTGATTGTTCAGCTTTTCCTATTCAATATGTACGACAAGTTCTATAAGAGTCAGTAAAGAAAACCTCGTTTTGTTTTTTAGCTTTTATATATACATAAAAAAGCTTCTTTTTTAAATCTGGCTCTCCAAGTTCTGACGACATTACCAAAGATACTTGTACCAATATAGTCAAGATTCGCCCAAAAACAAACTTCTTTAACGAGGGAGCACTTTGCTCTTCGCTAAAACACTTGGTAAAAACTATTGACAACTTTAGTATTTATGCTATATGGCTACCATTGAAATATCAACCTTTCGCATATTCAAGGGTGGTAATTGCACGAGTGAGAAAAAAAGTCGATTGTTGTGCTGCGGGAATTCTCCCATTAAAGACTAAAGAAAATGAGTCTCCGACAGGATTGGACACATGAAAACTATGATCAATAACCATCAGAGCGCGACGATTTACGACTACAATAGACGAAGATGTTCGAATCGCGACTGAAAAAGAAAAAAGAGTGCGCATTATAACGAGGAAGCAGAAACCCCAAATTTACTACCTTTAGCGACAATAGAAAAAGAAGAAGAACAAGGAACAAAATCACCAGGCTGAAGTAAAGAAAATGCTAGAGAAGAAAGTGATTCGTTCCAAGTGACAGCCCATGGTGTTCTCCACCCGTAATCGTACCCAAAGAAGAATGTCTTTCATTTCTGTATGAGCTATCTGCGTTAAAATTCGATCACACGAAAAGACAAGTTTCCAGTATATAGCGAAGATGAGACCATACAACGACATCCACTGTGATGCAAGCAGTACTCGAGACACGATGACATTTCATCCCTACACTCACGGACGTTCCAACAGGAAGCCTCTTATTTAACTCACCTATCGTTCAAGAACTAAAGGTATAGTTTTTGATGTAGTCTAAACACCAGCTGAATAAGCTGAATCTGGGCTACAGTAGTTGACGTTCCCTATGAAGTTCCTGGCTTTTCTTAATGTCTGTCTTCACCCCGGATTCCAGTGCTTTTTTAGGTTCGTCTTCACAGGCAAACACATCACTATGTTTCTTTTTGTATACCGGCGTATCATCTTTGAAATTATGAGCATTGTTGGCGAGCTTTCTTTAAGAATTTCATTGCAGCGGCGTGGCACTCTATTCTATGATTTTGAATACAGGATTTCTCAGTACCATCATCGTGGCTTGCGCTTAACGCCGGTCCCGGTCTCATACCTTTTTCGCTCAATACATTTGGTTCAACAAGAGCACCGAATCTAGTACTGTACATCGCCGTAACCATGTGTTTGATACCATATCTCGTCGTTTGACGACTCTTAAAGACGGTCGCTCTGCTATACGATAGCGCTAATATCATATTTATAGTGAATGAATACGTCTGGCGGTTATCAGCAATTGAAGTTACAGCTTTCTCACGCCCGGGAATATATACTCTTCCACTATGGACTAGAAGCCAAAAGGATCGCCTTGAGTTATTCTACATACCTGGTTCAAGGGGCACGCTCGGGCCAATTGCAGCAGGATGCGCCGCTCATTCCATTTAACAAACAATTTCAATGGATTGACAACACAACAAGGGAAAAAAGAAGGTCTCCGCCGGTAAGGACTGCCGTTTGCATCGTGCCGGCAGAGGAACTCCGTGCTTATCGAGCCTTCGCGGCAATGATTCGTCTAGCAAGGGTGTCGAAGCACTCATTATGCTGCTTTATATTTTTGTGGATTGTTGAAAATTTTTCAGGGAAGATCGCTTCGCTGGTTAAGTATAATCTATTGTCTGGCTTTTTGCCTTTTTTGCTACATATAGAGCATGAATCTGTCAGTAAATACATATGTCGATAGATATAACAACGTGATCATGCAAACATACGATGCCTCACACAACATTCGAACTTTCTATTGCAACGGCAACGGTTTGATATCCTTCGCTTGGAGCCACTTTAAATGTCTCGCTCGCGTTTCGGTCATCATTCACGATGTTTTTTCTGTTTCACCTTTTTTGAGTCGATGCCCTCTAATAATATTTCAAATGCGTCTCCACGCAATTCCTCATTGTACGTATATTCTTTGTGCTGTGTAAAGATGCTTTACAATTAGCAACCGTGACATTAATATGATATACATCGACAAGCGATCCTTGCACTTTATTCACTTCCTCTTCTATCACAGACCGAGCAAAGATGCTTCGCATGACGACGATGTATTATTTCACAGAAGTCTTTTGAACTGTCAAATGTGCATACGTGCGTCATTCCCCTGATCGCAGTAGCAGGTAAATGTTTGCGTGATGCTGTCCACTTTGTCTTGTCATATTAGGTATCGACAGCTATCTAGTAAGAAGCTCTCGAGCGATGTCGGTAATTTTCCATGTTTTGGAATCCGTGTTCTCTAAGTAACTCCCGTGAATTCAGAAAATTCATCGTCAGCTATTTATTAAGGGAACCACTACGCGCACGACAAAAATTGACCTCGCGCACGAGTTGTCGTGCGCACCGTCTCTCGCACAGTTTGAAAGACCCTGCACACGGCAAAAATTGATCTCGCGCACGACAATTTTTTTTGGCAGTAGTCGTTTTACCTCAACGTACTCGACGATTTATGTTCTTCTTGTCTCGTATTCAAGCTCTTGTGCCTTGTCTCCAGATTCAATTGTTCTTCATAATCATTTAAACACTTATTTCCCTGATTCCTTGTTTCTTACTACATGTTTTTTTCTTCGCTC